GTTCCTGAACTTGAGTGGCCTCAACGGAGTTCTCCTGGCTCCTCTGCTTTGGAGATATGCATGCTGTAATGTGGATTCCCTATAAGTAATCCCATTCCTCAAAGATTCTGGTTTCAATGAAAGAATGAAACAATTATCTTGAAATATTTTTGAGAATATGGATAATCAACACAACCACTTGAACTTCTTCATGTTTTGCTCAAGACGAGATCTATATCCCCAGAGGCTCTGAAAATTAATTTGAGGTAAAGGGGAACAATTAGTTGTTTCCCAGGGCTGCTGGGTTTAAGAATTAGTTCCATCAGCCTATGTAAAGGGAAAAAACAAAAAAGGTGCTTTCATTCACCCGCTGTCCATTAACTCTCAGTGTTCTTTGTGTGGCAATACTGTGCCAGGTGATAGCAACACAGCTTTAAGACTAGCAAGTTAAGGGACTGGAGAGATGACTCAGTGGTTAAAAGCACTGGCTGCTCTTGCAGAGGACCTGGGTTCAAATCCCAGCACCCACATGGCAGCTAACAACCATCCTTAACTCCAGTTCCAGGGGATTCAGTGCCCTCTTCTGACCTCTGCGGGCATTGCATGACACCGATGCCCCTACCTACATGCAAGCAATACACTCATACACATAAAATCATTAAAAAAAAAATTTTAATACTAGCAAGTTAAAAAGCCTGTGTTCACTGACTCTTTAGGCATAAGGCATCGTGTTTGCCCGAATTTGGCAACAGATGACAGTCAAAGGGAACCCAGAGTTTTTCTCTGTCATAGCAGAAATTCAAAGGAACAGTGGTATTACTGATGGTAAGATCTCTAGGGCTTGTGATTCTCACCACCCCTGGACAAGTAAGCAGAGATGAGGGCCTGGCAAGATGGCTCAGTGGTAAAGGCTCTTGCTGCCAAGCCTGACAGTTTGAGTTGGATCCCTGGTACCCAAATGATGGAGAAAATCAACTCCTGCAAGTCATCTTCTGTCCTTCACCTGCACACCATTGCATGTACATGTGCGTGCACACACACACAAATAAAATAAATAATTTTTAAATTAAAGCAGAGATTGGAAATGTCAGAAGTCAGATATGGTAGCACACACCTGTAATCATAGCACTCAGGAGGCTGAAGCAAGAAGATTGTGAGTTCAAGGCCAGCCTGGACTATATATATATAGTGAGAACCTGACTCAAAAAAGAAAGAAAGTAGCAGAAAATGCCCTAGCGCCACAGCCCATTGAATCCAGAGACAGACACCAGGGCCTGGAAGGGGTGACCCCTCCAAATTGCATGATCCTGCCAGCAGAGCTTATGTCTACTAAACTTATGAAACACTGTCTAGCTAGTCTCCAGTATAGACTTGTTAAAACCAAAACAGTCAAGGGGCCTAGATAATAGAGTGCCTGCTAACTAGATCCCTTTAGCTGAGTGTTGTTTTTTTGTTCCTACTGTCACTTAGTCCTTTGGGCAACTTTGTGGGGTACAGGTGGTATCCCTGCTTCAGTTAGAGCTTAATTAGCTAAAAAGGCATCCTACCCTATAAAGTAACTTTCATTGAATGCTAATTCATTTATTTTGTGGACTACTTTTGCTCTAGACAGAGTCACATTATTCCTTTTACTGGGAGCATCTTATTATAAACCTAGAGAACTCAGTCTTCCATTTTCCCATGTTTGAAACTGGGACCATTCAGATAGAGGTGCAGTATAGGAGACACGGACCTTCTCTATAGGAAGCAGTGATTTCAACTATTTCACCATGCTGCCTGCCAGCTATGGTACTATGGAGACACCTCACAGATTTGAGTTAGCCTTGAACCAGGTCTTGTCCTGCACTGGAAAGGATTCAAACCTGGCACCTGCACTTAATAGAAGGAACAAAAGATAAAAATAAATCAAAGGTATAGCTGGCTCAATGTGCTGGGGAGGCATAGGGAGGAGAGGTGAATTAGAAAAGGACCTTTCTGGGAATGTCTAGAGGAGTTTGGATTTATGCTGGGCCTTTTAGGCCTGCTTAGCTATTTTAGATGTGCTTCATCTCCATTAGCAGAGGCAGAGGTAGGAAAGTGCAAAGAGTATTTGGGAGACTTAAGCATTTGACTTCATGGGGTTGAAGGGAGAGATCAAGATGTCTAACAAAAGTCAGGTATGGAGGCATGACTGTAATCCTAGCATTTGGGAGGCAGGAGGATTGCCACAAATTTAAGACCATCATTGGCTACAGTATGAGATCCTATCAACCCCCCCCCTCAAAGATTTCTCACAAGTCCACTTACATTCATTACGTATGAAAAATTCTCATTTGTATAAAATTAAGTGACCATTTATTGTTTCCCTTTGTTTCCATCATGTTATTAAAGTATTATGTGCTTTTTACTAGACTAGGTGCTTTATCACGTTTTATTCTCAAAACTGACCCTATAAATTAGAACTTAATCCCATTTTATAGATGAGCAAACAGGGTAAATAGAACTTGGGCATTATCATGTAACTGGTAAATGATGGTGGCCTAAGGTTAATGCCAAAGCCCTGTTTCTACTGTATCAGCACCTCCCACAAGTACTTTGACTCCAAGTATAATCACACTGGTCATACACTTAAATTATAAGAATTCTGTTTGCTTCTGAAAGAAGAGAGTACATTTTTTGGTACTATGACATACATATTATGCATTTGAACTCTTGCTCAAAAACATACATTGTACTTCATAGACCATATAAAGACTTATACATGCACAAGGACTTGGGTTCAACCCTCACTTCCACCTAAAAGAGAGAGAAGGAAGGATTGATTTCAAAAGAATTTTACTCATTTCAAGATTTCTTCCTGGCCACATGCACATGCCTGTAATCCTAACATTTAGGAGGTAGAGACAGGAATATTGAGCATACAAGGTCACCCTCTGCTACATAACGAGTTCAAGACCAGGCCAAGTTTTAAAAAAAAAAATCCCATGTGATGACTTTAGAACCCCAAAAACCCAAATGAAATGAACCTGTTTTAATAAAATTTCTTTCCTGGTATATTACTGGGAAAGAGACTTGCGTGTTGGCCTCCCTCCTCAACCTACACTTACTATAACTAACCTCATAGTTTTTATAAAACTCCCTGAGTATAGTTCTCAGAAACCCCTCTTTTGCTTTAATTTTTCTGAAGCCATACTTCATTAGCCTTCCACATTTTTATGAGATGATGCAGATGGCTTGGATTCCTTTTGCCTTTAACATTAAGCAACTGTACTGCTCATTGAGACAGTCCCTGGTAGAGTGTTTTGGCTGTATCTTTATGAATTCTACTTGTAAAATTTCTTTATCTCTAGTACACTATTCCATATTCCTTGTACTTCTCTAAGCGTTTCATTATGTCCCTAAGTGACATTTCTGGTTCCTTTTTCGAGAAACGAGGAACCCAGGTTAGTGTAATGGCAGCATGGTAGATTTAAGGATACTCCTGATCCTGATTCATTGTGAAAAGGTGATTTTACATGAAACAAATAATGGTACATACTATAAACATGTTACCTAGTAGAAGGTAAATTTGGAACGTGTGTAAGTTATCTGTTTTTATGGAACAAACCACCCTGCAATCTAGTGACTTAAAACAAGGCCATTTACAACTTCTCCTGAGTCTACTGTCTGATGGGGTGTTTCAGAGCAGGCCTGTCTGATTTCAGCTGGACTCATATATCTGATCAGTTAACTGATTAGCTGGGAACTCTCCCATTTTTCTCCATGTCTCACACTTGGGCAGGGATCTGGTCACACTTTCATGGTGTGGCAGAGGCACAAGATCAAGCCACCTATTAAGGAAACAAGAAGTGCATACACACTGTTCGAACTTAATGCTAGCAGCACGTCTCCTATCTCCTATTGGCCAAAGAAAGTGACATGGCCACATGCAGTGTCATTGGAAGAAGATTCCACAGTTGAAAGATACAGGAAAGCTATTAGTTGGCAATTAAATGTAATTAGGTTTCCAGTCAGGACCCTCAATGTGAAAGAAAACCTTCAGACATTACTGGGTCAAGTTTGTCCTATAAGGGGGAAAAAATGGGCCAAGAAATGACTGTGTCCGGGGCTATGACATCACAACATCAAGCACTTTAGCTACTTCACAGCAGTCTTCACGACTCTGCAAGGTACATAGGAATCAGAGCTCAGAGAAGTTAAATAACTTGCTCAAGGTTGTCAGCTGATTGGTGATCAGGCTGAGATTAGAGTACATGTTGTCTGACCCCAAGTCCAGGTTCTTTTTACCATCCTTACTCTCAAGTGCACCAAGGTCTGTCTCTTCTCCATTACTAACATGATTTTCAGTTGAGTTCATGTTTTTTTTTTTTTTTTTTACTTATTTTATGAATCTCTTCTTCAAAACCTTCCTTCTATTT